AATTTTTTTTTCTGTTCTTTCTCCCTTTCTCCTTCTTGGATGGCATTGATGTATGTAGATTGTTTCTCTTAATGGTGTTCCTTAAGTCCTGTAGGCTTTCTTTATTCCTATTCATTCTTTTTTTCTTTTTGTTCCTTGGCTGGAGAACTTCAAATAATCTGTTGTCAAATTCAGTGATTTTATCTTTTGCATGGTTCAGGCCTTTTGAAGCTCTCTCTTGAATTCTTCAGTTCAGTCATTATCTTTTTCAGCTTCGAAATTTCTGTTTGGTTCTTTTTGTTGAACTTCTCATTTTACTCTTGTATTGTTTTTCAAATTTTGTTAATTTGTTCAACTGTGTTCCTTTATAGCTCTCTGAGCATCTTTATAACCATTATTTTTAATTCTTTGTTGGGAAATCCATGTATCTCCATTTCTCTGGGTTTAGTTACTAGAAGTTTATAGTGTTGCTTTGATGATGTTATATTTCTATGATTCTTTATGATCCTTTTAGTTTTGCAGAGGTGTCTGCATTTGAAGAAGCAGTTACCTCTTTCAGACTTTATGGACTGACTTCAGTAGCAAAATACCTTCATCTGTGGGAGGTAGGGAGTCAGATTCTGTGATTCCTGATTTAATGGTACAGGTCATCAAGTGCAGATGTGTATGGTGGCTCTGGTCGAGGGGTATATAATGTTTCTTTGGCTCAAGCATCTGAAGTCCATAGTATCAACAACTGCATGTTCTTTGGCAAGTGCTACATATGTGTGTGTGTGTGTGTGTGGGGGGGTCCACAGTGGCTTAAGGAGCTGTCGGCATCTTCAGCAGGACCTCTAGGTACAGTGGCTAGGGATCGGGACAGGTAGCACTGGTGGTCAGATCTGTTGGTGTGCACACTCTTGGATGTGGGTACAAGTTGCTGGTGCTTGTGCAGTGGTAGAGACTGGTTGCAAACACACACACAGTGGTGGGGAAAGAGCCAACAGCGTGGGCCAGGGCCAAATGTGGATGCACTGGCAGTCGCGTGTGCCCTGGCTGTTGGTGTGCCCTCTTGTGGTGGAAAGGTCTCACCTCGAGTGTGCGCACCTTTTTGTGAGGTTATTCTCCAGTTTTTTTGTTCTACGGCGTTGCTGAACTTTCTTAACTTGACTCTGGAGCTCTCCCAAAGCTACTTTTGTTCATAGATAACTAATTGTTGATCTTTGCCAGCGATGGAGGCTGGGATCTTCTACTTTCTCATTTTGGTAATGTCATTTCCTTTTGATTTTTGAATATGTCAGATTAGAGACAGCTTTATGTAAGTAGCTGAAATGGTATCCTTAAAATTTCTACATAGCAGTCCCAATTTGCACTGAGATATGTTCTGTCACATCTTCTTGCCTCTAAGAGTGGATGGTCCTATAAAATTCTAGTCCTCTATGTTTTAATTTGGCAGTTAATAGCTCATCAATTCCAAAATAAAAATTATTTGGTTTTAAGCCTTCCCAGATCACAGTCATTTAAGTAGATTATTCTTGGTTTTTGTCCACGCTTCATTAGTATGTGATTGCTAGAATTTTCTTATGGACACTCCATCTCTTAGAAGGAGGAGAAAGAGGGAGAGGGAGAGAGAATATACTTCTTGTATAAAAATTATTTTTCAGTCTGTCTTATATATTTTGGCAGCCAATTTCTATGTAAAAAAAAATGAGACCTCTTAAAGCATCTACATCATCCCATCGTCACCTGTATTTTGTTATAATCTTTCCCATGATCTTTTTTTTTTTTTATCCTCACCCGAGGACATTTTTCCATTTTTTGTTCAGATAGAGTGGGAGGGAGAGAGAAAGAGAGAAGCATCGATGTGAAAGGGACACATCGAGTGGTTGCCACCTGCACAACCCAACCAGAGCTGGGGACAAACTGCAACCGAGGTACGTGCCCTTAGCAGGAACCGAACCTCAGGTCTCTCTGGACCGCAGGCCGATGTTCTAACCACTGAACAAAACCGGCCAGGGTTTTTCCATCATTTTAAAAGACCTTCTAAATTATTGTAATGTAAAATATTTTCAACATTTATTCTGTAAAAGACCAACACTTCAATAAGAAATAATCATGTAGAATCAGGGCACATTTATTTTATTTTTTAAATATATTTTTTCTTTATTGATTTTAGAGAGGAAGGGAGAGGAAGAGAGAAATAGAAACATTGATGAGAGAGAACATCGGTTGGCTGCCCCCTGCATGCATCCCACTACGGATTGGGTGCCTTGACTGGGAATCAAACCAGCAACCTCTTGGTACATGGGTCGACGCTCAACCAGTGAGCCACAACAGCCTGGAAGGGCACATTTATTTGAAATAATCTCAGACTTAGAATCATTATCACCTTCTGAAATACATAAGGTTATTAAATGAAATAACACATCTTGGACATGATCTGAGTTATCTAGAGCACAGCATCTCCTCTAAAACTATTTTTCTAAAAAATTTTAATTACAGTTGGCATACAATATTATATTAGTTTCAGGTGTACAATATAGTGATTAGACATTTATATACCTTAGAAAGTGATCACCCCAATAAGTCTAAACCGAGCATCTTATATGTAGTTTTACACAAGTTGCATGTTAATTAGATCAAATTGATAGCTTGCTTTGAAACTTCAGACATGAGAAGTAGATTTTATTTATTTTTTATTTTTATTTCGTATTGTTGAAAGTAATACAGATGTTCCCCCTTTTCCCTCATTGACCCCCTCCTTCCCGCTCCCACCCCAGAAGTAGATTTTAAAAGCAAGAAAACATTTACTGTCCATGTGGAAATGAAGGAAGAAGGAAAATCCAGGTGGCTGCTGCGGCTCCTCACCTGCCCCTCTCGGGAAACAGGAAGAAGACAAACCAGAGCTCAAGAGCCTGGACACAGCCCGAGGCTAGGATTTGCTGGTGAGTAAACAGCTTCTGACCTGAACTTGATATTCTAGCATCTGTCTCTCAGAGAGAAACAAACATATTAGAGTTCTGTAACATTTCCTTAGAGTTTTCCCAAATAGGCAGCCCTGTTCCCATTTAAATATCTCAACAAGCCAGCTCTTTGCCGTCCAGCAACTTGTCCACCAGGTACCTTCCTCTTCCTCTTAATGTTTCACTTCAAATACCACTTCCTCCTGGAGGTGTCCCCTAGTTACTGAAGAAAGGCTCTGATGCCCCTTCTGGGCTCCCAGCACACGTTCTAATTACATATAATAATTGAATGCATTATTTCTACAGTGTTTTGCAGAACTCCATATCCTTGGATTTCTCCTCAAAACAAAGCAAACAAATAAGTAAAAACCCCAAATCTGTTTTGTGGTCAATTGATTTTAGGAAACTCCATTCTAGACTCCTCTTACATATTTATTTTTTACATTTGAGTATTAATGTTTCTAAAAAGTAATTCCAGAAAGAAACTTGTTTTTACTCATTTTTTTCCCAGGACTAATTGACCGTAAAACATCTCTTTTGAGAAATGTCAGTCTGCAGATTTCTCTGGAATAAGGTTGGGAAATGCTGTCTTATGGTTCTGTGATTGTTTGCTTTGTCCTGCCTCTCCACAGGGCCACACTTATTGGTATCGCCAGTGCTTGGTACATGCCTGGCACATAGTAGTATATTTAATGAAATTATTTGTTAATAAAAATATGGCAGAGAGAAAGGGAATGATTTCCATGCTGGGAGCTTGGGAAAATAAAGTTATTTACTGTTGCATAACAAACCACCCCAACATTTAGCATTTAGTGACATAAAACAGTATTTGTGTGTGTGTGTTCATGGTTTTTATGGGTTTGGAATTCAGAAAGAGCATAATAGGGACCCTCCCCCGCCTCACTTCACATCATGTGGGACCGTTGATGAGATATGACACAAATGGCGATGGGTACTTAGTATAGTGGGGGGCGGGAAGGGCTGAGCTGAGGACAGGAATCATTTCCAAGTTATTCTTTTCACTCACATGCGGGGCCTGAGCTCCTACATTTGACCTCCCAAGCGTGATGGTCTCGGCAGTGTCAAACTTTTTGCATCGTGGCTCAGGGCTCTAAGAACAAGTGTTCCCAGAAACTAGGCAGAAGCTGCCAGTTCTCTTAATGACTCACCCTCAGAAATCTCAGCTATGTCAAAGAATTTATAGCCACGCTTCAGACTGGCACAGCAGGGGGAGAATCGTGATGCCACTGGTTGACATAAGGGATTCAGGAGAAGGGAGTTTGCTGGGTCGGAGAGGGGGTACAGGCATGTGAACCTCCAGGGGGGATGTCTAGCTAGAATATATCTGGAGCTCAGGCAACAGGTGGGAGGTGAAAATGAGGGTTGAGGTTTACCCCATGTAAGTGGTGCTGCAGGTACAAGTCAGATGCTCTGGGGAATGTTTGCAGAGCCAGAGAGGAGACTCAGGCCTAGACCTGCTGTTAGGAACTGAATGTCCCCCCTCACACTCCTATGTTGAAATCCTAATCCCACTGTGATGGTATGTGGTAGGAGTGAGGCTTGGGGAGGTGATTAGGTCATGAGGGTGGAGCCTTCCTGAGTGGGATTCGTGCCCTCAGGAAAGAGACCCTGGGAGCTCCGTTGTCCTCTTTCTGCCGCTTGTGGACACTGTGTGAAGGTGGCAGCCTGCAGGAAAGGAGACGGTCCTCTCCAGAGCCAGCCATGCTGGGACCTGATCTCTCTGGACTTCCAGCCTCCAGAACCAGGAGAAATAGATTTCTGTTGTCATGAGCCACACACTTTACAGTACGTTGTGATAGCAGTTTGAGCTCACTAAGACACCTGGGAACGCCGATGTTTACGGGAAAACGGAAGGAGGAGAAGCAGAGAAGAAAGCTCAGAAGCTCCCACGGTGGTGAGAGGAGGAGGCAGCGTGATCCAGGGCAGCCCAGAGGAGTGCTGCAGGGCGGAGGGTCGACAGTATCTCAGGCCCCAGGGAAGTCAAGGTAAGGAGGCCCAAGGGTGTCCACTGGGTTCGACAGTATCTCAGGCCCCAGGGAAGTCAAGGTAAGGAGGCCTATGGGTGTCCACTGGTTCGACACGTATGCAGTTCTTCAGTTAGGGAAGTTGCAGTGAAGACAGATGGGGCTGGCGGTGGCGCTGGGGGACGCGGCTGAGTTGTTGGCATGGGAGGAAGCTCTGTGCTCGTGGCTGAGCAGCATCCAGGTGGAGAGAGCTCCTTTCCCTCCCCGCCAAAGCTCTTTCTTGTGATTGTACCAGAAAGTCCCATGGCACCTCATTCACAATGGTTAGAAATGTGTAAAAGTCATTGAATAGAAAAAGCTTTTTAAGAGCACAAGGCAGCCAGGGTGGATCACATAACAGCCCAAACATGTGACACGTCCCCAGATAAGCCCGAAGCCACAGCCAGTAACAGCTCTGCAATCTGCCAGGGAGCGGCTGACGCGGGAGCCAATCTGCTTCCTCTGTTTGGCATCTGCGGGCTGCTGAGAAGGGCGGTTTGCCAAGTCCTGTTCCTGGAGGGGGAGAGCCGCAGGCTCTGTGATGGTCAGGGCTGTCTCCACATGGGGGGGGAGGGAGGACTGCTGGGACGGGGAAGTGTTGTGTCATCTTACACATCCTACCGTGCCCTGACATTTCCCTTTCAGGAGAAGGCAAATGCAAGTCTGCAGGAGAAATGATTTTCATGTTCAATTTTTTCAGCTCTTTGGGACTTGAATGTGGCTGTTGGCAAAATTATGTTGCAGTTGATAAATCGTGATTCAATGAATTAATATACCGGAGGCTCTTAGAACAACGCCTGTTCTAAGAACAAACACCATGTAAGTGTAAAGTACTACTATTAATATCACTTTATTATTGTGTTACAGCTTTAAATACAGGAGCACAGTTTGATTGGAAGGAAATTCTTCTTCTCTATCTTACATTTCATAGATAAGATAAACTTTGTATTTTGAAACTTTTCAAGAAACATTAGGAAGATGGGGGTCACATTTCTTGACCTGGAGTAAGAGCTATTACCAGAAAACAGTCTCTGTGTGTACTCGGCGTAGAACCCACGTTTGCCACCGAGTGGGTGTGTTAAACCTCAGTGGGTGTCCTTTGTGGCTGGTGGGCTTTGATTCCAGTGACTTGTTTTTGACTCTGATTATCCAGCCTGAGAGTGTGTCCTTTTGGGGAGAGCGGTGTGCTCCAGTGATAAAATGTGTGGGTGTAAAGTGATCCGACTTGAAGGCCTACTGAAAAGTAGGGGCCCCATTGTTCGGCTCCTGTCTCTTTTGCTCTCGCAGAGAGGGGGGATGCTGCAAGTTCAGGTCAGAAGCTGTTTACTCGCCAGCAAATCCTAGCCTCGGGCTGTGTCCAGGCTCTTGAGCTCTCGTTTGTCTTCTTCCTGTTTCCCGAGAGGGGCCAGGTGCGGAGTCACAGCAGCCAGGGTGGAGGTCTAGAGTGGCATCCGTGGGGATTATTTTATCCCTTTACTCCCATTCTCACAATAAAACCTTATCTACCCCAAACACCTCTGCGCAGAGTTCCTTTTGAGTCTATGCCTCCAAATTCTGGTATAAATCTGCATCAAGCTGTGGTTTAGTCACTAGGGAAAAGTAGATGTTATTTCTGACTTGGAGAAGTTTCTAATGTATTTTAGATATGTTTGAAATTCACAGTCAGCTGTCTGTCTGTCTGTCTGTATCTATCTATCTATCTATCTATCTATCTATCTATCTATCATCTATCTATCATCTATCTACCATCACCTATCTATCTATCACATATCTACACTTAGAAACATGAAGTGTTTATTTTGAAATATAAGTTTTCTGATCAGAAAAATAGTGGGACTATTATTTAGGTTTGGAAGAATGATTTAGAAAGATGGACTAGACTATGGTGGAGTAAATGTGATGAGTTAGAGATAAAGAGTTTAAAAAAATTATTCCATGAGCTAGACATACACTCTCAAAGTGTTTTAGACAGATGTAATTGTGGGCAAACTAAAAAGGAGCAAAGGTATGAGTAGCCAGCCTGTGAATGCATCACTGGGCTTTTCCAGCACTTTCTGAGCTGAGGACCAGGTTGACAAGGGTCACCTAGGACAGTAAGAGGGGCTGCTGTGGCCCGGTAGATACATGGACTTGTGCTTCTAGAGAACGTGAGCAGGGTGGTCTCTGATGCTTACGTAGAGAGGGTGTAAGTCAAGGATGTTTTGCACACAGCAGCTGTTCTGGAAGTGCTTGTTGTTTACAGAGCAGCTTATATATAAATGGGTGAAGGTTTCATGGACCCTAATTTCCTGAAATGCCCTTTCTTTGGCTATTAGTGTGCTCTAACATTCAGCCTTGTCTTGGATTTTCTTTAGGGCTGCTAAAACCCTAAAGGCTTGAAAACCTCTTGGAAGCTATAATGCTATGTCCAGACTGGGAAAATGTCATAGATATGTCTATTTCCTTTAGCCACTCAGGATAATAAAGTCTGTAACACAAATTTTGGGGGCCTTAAATATCCATGTTACATCCATGAATATTGGTCCTCACTAATTTTCAAAACTAGAATTTCTTATCCTTTATAATGTTACATCTAAAGCCAAGTGTTCCTACACTCAGTTTTGGGGGACTTGGAATAGAGTTAGTTTCTATGTAGCTTTTATTCTCTAAACTCACATCCTTATTGGTCTAGAGACTAGAGTTTGTGTTTTCTGGAAATGAGGGCAAGACCTGTTGGTGGTCAGAAAGCATTACTAGTAAACCCATCTACCAAGGCAAATTTTGCCTGACTGATGTGTGTAGCAAGATCAAGTGAAATATTTTTAATTTAATTTTTGATTATCCAGATCAATGAAGATATACTAAGAGATCAGGAAATGTTATGGGGGGGAAATCAATTCTCTCTCTCTCTGAATTAGCTGTCTCTAATGGTAAACTATTTATGGGGATCAGAACGTTGTTTGGTGATCAGTGAGATAATTTTCCTCATCGTGAACCATATACAAGATAGTGATACAAGAGACTATACTCAGTTAATGGTCTAACAGAAAGTACGTCTTAGAAGGAATAAAGCAGTCACTAGCCCCATGCGGCCATTGAGCACTTGAAGTGTGGTTCCACCGAGAAACCAAATGTTAAATTTTGTTTTAAATTTAAATTTTTAAACTGGTACATAGTTCAGATAGTAGAGGATTTTTATGAATGTTTGAAACAACTTGGATATGTCAGTTTACTTTTTGAGTAAATTCTATGAAGTAGCAATACAGAACAAGGATTTGCTATGAAAATTTAGCGACCAAATTGAAACTGTTAATCAGGATGTGGCAAAAGTAGGTTTACAGTTGTACTTATGTGAGCTACAGCATTTATTCTTGTATAATTATTTATTAATTATTACATTATTTTCCATACAAACAACTCTAAACCTACTTTTGCCCCATCCTGTATGTGTAAAATACACACCGTTGTTTAGAAACAATAGAAGAAAGAATGTAAGGTATCTGATTGATAATTCTTTTACACTTATTACATATTGAAGTGATAATATTTAGATATAGTTGTTAAATAAAATATATTATTTCATTTAATTTTGCCTCTTTCTTTTAAAGTTTATCCCATCTTTCCCGGAGAGTAATTAGTCCCCGGGAGGCTGGGAGAGGGACACTTTCCCCTCTGTCATCCCATCTGTCAAGTTTGAGGACACTCTGAGTTGGTGGAGAACACGTTGGCCATAAGTCACCACTTTCATTCTGGGACTCAGTTTCTTCCTCTCTTTTTTCAGAATGTAGGAATATCAGACACATCAGTCCCACAAATTATAACCAAATAGTGAAACTTGAAGCCAAAAGACCTGAGTTTAATCTCTTACTTTGACTCATAATAACTAAATGACTTTGGGTAATTGAAGGTGTAAGCTTCAATTCCCTCTTCTCTAAAATAGCGCTAAAGATAATCTGTGACTCCCAGGAGTACAGAGTGGATGAAATAAAATCATATATGTGAAAATACTACCGAAATGACCTGTAAAGTTTCAGGGTCATACATTTTTTTCTTTCTGTATAGTATGTGCCAAAGAACAAAGGTTTGTTTCTAGACTTGCCATGGGCAAAGCTCTAGATTCTCTAAGTTTTGTTATCTCTAAAATGGGAATAAAAATATATTCTTTTCCTACCATTAAATTATTTTGAGGGTCAAATAAATGAACATACTTGATTATGTGATTTAGGTTTGAAAAATGACACAATGAAATATAAATATAAATCAGTGCTACTACAAAGTACACAAAGTTTAAAACACAAGAAAGTCATTCACTGAACATTTAAGAAACATTATTCAAAGGAAAATAAAAAGCGATAATCCAGACTCAGAGAAAGGACGTTGGAAACTTAAATGATCTTGTCCGTAGTCACATCATGTTCTGACAGAACAAGAAGTAGAACTTTGTCATTTTGTGTTCCCAGTGGTTCCTTCAGTCAAGAGAGTCTTGAAGTCTCAAATGTCAGATATGAAACCTGAATCAACTGCAATGTTTTTAAAAGGCAAGTTGTCCTATATAGGGTGAATTCCCATTTTCTTGTTGGTAGCTGGTATGTGTGTGTGTGTGTGTACATACATGTGCACACATATATGTCTTTTCTGAAAGAAATTAGATGTTGAATGAAGAAGCTAATATAAGGGATTTGTAGTTAGTAATTCTCTACAAATGCTACAGTGGCATCTAGATGGAAGCTCTTTACTGTCACAGAAAGATCACTCAGAAGTACTGTTAAGTAACAATGCAAGTTATAGTACAGTCCACTGCCATCTATGAAAAATAATATACATATAAGACTCGTATATATATTTGCATATGTTTAAATATCTTTGGAAAGATCTAAAAATATTTTAAATGATATTACATGAGCGTTACTGTGGGCCTGTCAGGGGCGGGGCAGGTTGGGGCACCAGAACCGATTGACGGAAGGAGCAGCGGTGGTGGAGGAGGAGGAGGAGGCGGCGGTGGTGTTTGTCTTCTTTCTCCTCCACTGTTGCATGCTCATCTTCCTCTCTGCATACTTCCTAATTACATCGTCTGGTGTAGAATGTGATCACATTCGTGCTAGATCATGTTGCTCGAAATCAAACAAGCGGGTGATTCCAGAAGTGATGGCCATACCATCGTCACTGTATCGATGCTCCTTTCATTGCACTGTGCACCTTCTTTCTCAACTTACCTGTGGCCACTTGGAATGTAGATCGGTTCATTATGGTGCCACGTGGTAACATGGGAGGGTTTGATCCAAGAGAAATACACAATCGAGAGCAGCTGAAGTCGCACATGAAAGAAGCCATGATCAAGCTTGGTTTCCACCTGCTCTGTTTTTGATTTATCTTTGTAGTATGGTTTTAGCTTTGATAAATGACGGAGGCAGGAGAAGCCATGGTTAAGTCAACTACACTATGGTGTGCACGTGAGAAACCAGAGACTACTTATACCGTCCTTAGAACCGTAACCATAGCAGTATGTTTGTTTCCTCTTTGAACAAAAATAGTTTCGCCGTGTTTTTACCATATAAACTATTTAAAAAAAACCCAAAACCACAAAAGTTACTGTGGTATTTCATTGTTTATATGCTAATTCCATTTTAAAGATAAGGTTTATTTTTGTAAAAACAAAAAATTAAAATATGGAAAAATTTAAGAAGTAGACATGTTTAAGTATTTTACTTATAGACAGCTCCAATTTAAATCTAGAAAAATAAAAAAATAAAACTATGTATTATAATGAATAAATTGAATCAAACTATTTCATAGTTACTTTAAATGCTACTAAAAATATTGTCGTTTTAAACTTTTGAGTAAAGTGTAATGAATTATAATTATTTATAATATGTTCTATGTACTTTAAATATTTTAACAAATTGTATGTAATCTAATTTATTACACCTAAAATTATATTCAATAGTATATTCAAATATATTATTCTAAATTATTTTAATAAAATATTAAATGCATTTATTGATTTAGAATAAACAATTTTAATATTTTTAAATTTTTCTTAGATTTTGATTTTTTACAGGTATGTATAATTTTTTATTATTACAGCGTTGCTTCAAAAATAGGCTATATATTTATTTGAAGAAAGTACAGTGTGATTCTTCCAATTTTGTTGTTGTTCAGTTATATTTCTTTCAGATTCTAGGCAATGGAGACCTTGCTTTGTTTTGTATATTTAACCTACATCAATTCAAGAAAGTTATGGCCATTTAGTTTTTTCTTGAATTACTTAGATTTACACACATTTCTTTTTTCTTCCTTTGCCTGGGAAACAGAGGCCTCATATATAGTGAATATGTCATAACAAATGCATATTGAAATCATACCTGAGAATAATCCTTTTAGATTCCTTAAAGTGACATCATATTAACCTATGCTAAATATTTACACATTTTGGAATGTAGGGTTCTGTTTTTCATGTTAGTGACTGTACTTTCTGAAGTGCCACTTGTCAAATAAGCTCATTTCTAATGGTCGACAAGCGGTGTTAATTTCAAGATTTCTAACATGTAGTCTTGAAACACTAGAGTGATATCTTTTGTCAGAACAAAGTACGAGTTGACAATTCAAAGACATACCTTTTTCTGAATGGCGTATTGTTAAGAGGAAATAGTTGTGAACAAAAGGTGGAAGTAACTGAACTGGGAATCAGGTATCACAGGCTGAGAACGAGAATAGTGAGTAGAGTATATGGGCAAAGTCTACGGGCTTGAATGACAGCTCAAAGACAAGATGGGATTTCACCCACTTTCAAAACATGACTTTTGTGCTCTCCTTTAAAGTACCGGCTGCTTTTCTTTAGTTCAGATGGTGGCAAATATTCGGGCTCAAGCATATAGTTGAGCTTCCACGGACTCAGGGGTGGTAGAAGTATCCGTATTTCACTGGCCTTCATTCAGCAACTAGATCCTTTTCAAAGATTCACATTCTCAAGGGCATTTGATAGATTAGTTCTTCACAACTATATGCTATGATTTTATTCTTCCTCATTGAAAATACCAGGATTGTGCAATAAGAAATATTATAGTTACTTATAATTAAAAAAGGTAATTAATCTATCTGTAAAAGCTAAGGTAAAAAAAAAGAAATACAAACACCCATTGCTTCTCGGCCTTTTGGCTGAGATCAAATGAAGAAATACAAGCACCTGTTAATATGTGTAATTTTGAAAATACTCCCAGGAATAGTTCGTGCTCCTTTATAAGGGTGCTTTCCTAACAAAGTCATCTGTAATCACTTGAGCGAAGCTCAGAAAGGCAGTCTAGAGATCTGGAATGCCCTTGCAATACAACCAGCAGAAAAAAATTGCTAGACATTTCAAAGACATGTAGTATTATGACTGGTATTTCTGTGAATGAACAATAAATATCACATTATAAAGAAACAAATGCCCAGGGGAATTATAAAGTAAAATAATGTAAAATAGAACAAAAGACTATAACTCTAAAAGATCTGAAAGGTACAATCTGGGGGGTAATTGTGCCTTTTTAATTCTCCCTTTGGTGGAGGTTGTGAATCAGACTAACATAACACACAGGGAAATACAATGAAACAACGTGGAATTTGGGTGGAAGCTGGCACAGGATTTGGAGCTAAGGTCATTTTCAAAATATAATTTTTCTGTTGTGATATTAATGAGAATATCTCATCTATTCATGCTATGATGTATTTTTGAATAAAGTTTCTTAGTTAAAACTAGGAATATTTTGATTAGCTAGTCATTTAAAGAGAGGTAGTTAATTGTCAAGCTTTATTTTTGTTATTTTACTGAATAATTAGACGATGAGAAAAGTTGGCTTAGATCTAGTTGACCATAATATTTTACTAGAGAAAATGAAATAGAAAATTAATATAATTGGAGGTGTCATCCTCAAAATATTCATGCAAAGAGCATTTTGGGGTTTTCTTTAAAGTAGATTAAAATGAGAGCAACCACAAAATAATTCTTTGATAAACTTGAAAATCTAGCTATCACTTCATCTGAGTAAACTTCCATTTCGGTTTCTTAACATTTTCCTTGAAGGGTATAGAACCTACATACTGTGTCGCACTGATTCAAAAAAGAAAAACTCCTTTTCAACCCACAGGATTCCAAAAAGAATAAAAGTCTACTACTTCACCGGATTTCGGAAGACATGGCTTTTGGTACGTGCGTGTTTGTGAATTTCAGAGCAAAGAGGAGGCACCTTTGAAATCTTCATCATAAGCTGTGAGAAGTAGCCCTGGTAACATGTACTTTGCCGCGTTTGGATATGAGACGTAAATGACATCCAGAGATGAAGCAGGTTTCCGTGGTCCTGCAGCTAGGTGATGGCAGGGCTCGGTTGGCCCGGGGCCTTCTTTCTCACTGCCTTATGAAACTGGTTCCTTCAGACCTCAGTCGGGTCTGCCCGTGCCCTGGCCTTAAGGGCCGTCCTGCTGCCTGTGTCTTCACCAGCTCCCGCGCGGCGTGCGGCCACTGTGCCATTTCTGGGATGTGTGTGTCGGACGTCAGGGGCCTGCCCTGCTGCCCCCTAGGCACACTCAGGGAGCTGGCACTGAGGAGGGAGGAGAGGGTGGCTCTGGCACCCACCCTCGTGCATGCACCGGGTCATCTGCGACACGGTTCTTCCCCTGTGCTCTTGTTCCCCTCCAGAGACCTGGGCAGCAAGCTTCCTGTCCTCCGTGTGAGCCTGCCTCCGGTGTTCCTGTTAACTTGATTTCACCCAGAAAATGCCCCAGAAGTGTTTTGGAGTGGGGAATGACAGGGTGGTCATAGTTAAAATATGTCCTATTGTGAACATGTCCCAGCTGTGCCCCAGGTGTGATGCCCTTATTTGCTGACACTCCATTGCAAACTACCTGCCACACACTGTCAGGCGAATTACTTTAAAGCACGAAAATATGCGCTTCTCTCTCTATTTGCAGACATAATTCCTTAGTAGGGCGTTTAGCTTTTTCACGACCTTTCCCCCATGTTCTGTGTAAACTCTAGCCATTCATATCGATGAGCACTCTGCTCCAGCAACAATGCTGTTATTACTCACTGTGCATCCAGAGACCTGTTTTCCTGCTTCTGTTATCAGGTCAAATCAAGCCTGGTGTTGAGAATGCCAGGAAGGTGATGTTACCTACTGACACAGGCAGTTATGAAGCCTATCCAGCCAATGTTACCAACACTATCACTATTACCATCTTCGTTTACATGGTGGGGCCATAAACTTAATTCATAACTTATGTGCATAGAAATAGAATGTATTAATTCTATTGATAGTCAATCAGTGTTCCCTACTCAGTTCTATCCTCTATCCCTGAGATCCCTGCCCCGAAAGTAACTAGACTAAATATTGAATTGTGTTTAAACCTCAGACCAACTGTAATTTAGATACTTTATTTGCTCAATCTCTCTAGTATCAAATGCTCAGTCTCACATGTTTTAATCTTCGGATGTTTCTTCCAGGTCCTTCCTACCTGTGGTATTGGTGGGGGTGGAGGGTTCAGATATGTCAGAGGAGAAAGACTCTTGGGCAGGTGTCCCTTGCTTCTCTGGTCTCTGAATCACTGTCCCTTGCCCATACGGTTGGTGCTCCTCTCACTCACCTTTGCTGCTGAAGTTGGCAGCTCATGTACTTCCCGGGGCTCCCGGGCAGAGTCAGCCACATCCTGTCTTATGAAGGGGCCAGCGGCCGACTTGGGCCCGTCCTGCGTGGTGTACTTTGCAGCCGTTAATTCAGAGCCTTCTCACCCACCCAACCTCTGCAAGTTGCCCACTCCGGTTCAGCTCTCTGGTGTCCCGTCTCTGCTACATGGGAAGGTAGCGAGGAAAGCCACGCTTCATAATTTCCCTCTGCCTGGTCGCCATGGCCTTCCCTTCGGCTGTGGGGTTCCCTGTACAGAACCCCGAATTGGGAGGGTGGGGAAGAGACCCACCTGGGCGTCTCTGAGTGCTGACTCCGGATCTAACGCCTCTTGCCTTTAGATGGAACAGACTGGGACCAGGTCTCGTCTACTGCTACGTCACTACTACGGCTCTCTCTTTTCCACACCCTGTATTTGTGCCCAAAGGGACTAGCTTTGCTCATGCCGTCTAGCTTGTATGCTGTCGTTGTCAACCACAGGGTGTGTGGGGGGCTACTCTGCATTGTGGGCAGGCTTCCGGAACAGAGTCTCCGCGTTTGGTCCTGCTGCAGACAAAGAGGAACTGGGTCGCCCTTTTACACATGGTGGTCTCTCACTGCGAAGTCAGCGTGTTTAAAAGGAAATGAACAGCTGTTCCCTCCTCAAACTCGAGTTGTCTCCTCCATGCCCTGTTTCAGTTAACGGCAGTATAATTGCACCTCGAAAGAGTCT